ACAATATCGACCCGCGCCTTCGGTGTGAGCCTCTTGCCGGCGAGTAGATCGAGAAAAGCAAAACAATATTTGCTATTATGGATGCCCCACTAATTGCTGCTGCCCTGAATCCACGTTCTGTCCTCGCCCCGGGGGGTAGACCAGCGTACATGTTGCACCGTCTCCCCCGTCTCACCTGGTTCTTGTTCTTGACTCTCCAAACGCGCCTGCTCTTGTTGTACAAGCCGACTGTACCTGGTTTGGATGAAAACCCGTCAAATTAGGAAAGCTGACAGCCGAGGCAGTTCGTCGCATGCATACTAAAACGACTAGACATCCCCGCATCACCTCAACCGACCTTCAATTATCCAGCTTCAACGTCTCATAAAGCCAAACCCCAAACGCTGAAATACGTCACGTAATCATTTGCATTGCTTCAATATCCTTGCGCAGGTAAAACCAGATTTCTCAAAGCGGTCAGGCGTCCACCACTGATGCGCAGGATGTGTGTAGAATGTAACTTTCCACATATCACTCGTACCTTTTTGTGGCCTACGTGTTGGGTAGGCGGCGTGCGTGGACATCTACCCTGCATCGCGCCCGGCAACCAAGACCAGCTACACAGAGTGTTTCCTACAATAACCGTAACCAACGGGTCCTATTGATCTATCTCGAGATGTGGCAAGTTTTTGGCGCACCGTTCGCCAACCCGTAGGCCCACATAGTGTTCTCCTGCTTCTCGCCCGTCGTCTTCACCCCCCGCCTTCGTTCGTCCAAGGATTTGAGGTGGGTCACCCTCTCCGCCTCAGTGATTTCACTCAGCACTTCCTCTCGGCGGAACACTCGCACCTGAATTATTTGTTTATCAGTAGGAGCCACCGTAGAGCTCGATGCCTTCATTGGTGTGCGTGTTCGGGTGCATTCATTGGTGTACGTGTTCGGGTGCAAGTCACATATTCTACTTGTGAGGAAGGACTGACTGTTTTGGGAATATCTGAGCCGATATTCCCCGGCTGTGCAATGCCCTGGAGTTATTGCGCGCTGTCAGCTAATCCTGGAAAAGCGTTACGACGTACTCCGCTGGTAGTAGTCCAGGTTTTGATTGGTCAGTTTCCTCCTATGTGAAGACTTTTTGCGTTGATATTTTTTGGATGCTGTCATGTTTAGCTGTTTTTCTTGCAGAACGAACATTAATCTCCTGGGAGGAAACTCCAGCCCAACTACGTGCCAATATTGCTGCCATGTATGAAAATCGAAGGTGGCGAACAAACTCTCCTTCAGTTGGAAGATGTTCCATGTATGTAGAGCTTGACCAAGGATTTGCATTGCTTCCAGTTCTCTTTCCCCCCAGCAACACGCAATGGATAGCTTGGGGTAAGTGCGAAATGAAGAGTATTGGTGTCGCGGTGGACCTGCGACAAGTACCTCGAAGTCATCACTTCCGACAAGAAGCTTTTGGTGCCCATCCCCGTTAGCGTCCGCCATTGTCATCGAAGAAACTTTGTCACCGGTAACCGTCCAGAATCTGAATGAATCGGGGGCAAGCGTCCGCCATCGTCATCGAAGGAACTTTGTCACCGGTAACCGTCCAGAATCTGAATGAATCGGGGGCAGGCCTTTAAGCTGCTGGCATCGTTGAAGCTAAACCGCTGAAAGCATGTAACTTGGTATTTTAGCTGTCGACCGCCCAAATGAAAAAGCAATCATGGGATATTCACCACTACGACTAGAGCGGGCCTCCCAAAAAATGGATGTTGGGTACGGCATGATACTTCGAATGACACGAGAAATAGCTCTACGATGTAGACAAGCACGACGTCATGCCTTCAGTAGAAAGAGTAGAACAGAATATATAGTACCTTTCTGTGCCCGTGGCGTCGAAACCCTGTACGGAGCAGTTGCCCCCAACGAGGGCCAGGGGTTGCTGTGAGGGAGGCAGGCACCCAAGCAGCACCGCGCTTACTCCATCAGCTACGTCCTGATTTCGTTTTACACAGTTGCATCGACGATGCATTTGAGGACGTCGCTCTGCAAGGCACTCTTTCACGTTGGAAAAGGTAGTTATTGTATCGCCAAGGGATTTGGTGACCCGGAGTACTCGTGGGCCCTTGTTGTCACCAGTAAGTCCCGGCCTTCTAATAAGTTGTGATTTTGGCGTAAAGTTCGAGTCAGGGTACGGCGCTCGGTACGAGATTAGGTCGGGGGGTATATCCCTCACAGGAAAGTTCCTACAAAGGACGGCATCACGGGTCGGTGGATTCACGGAAAACGCTTTCGACGTCACAGCGTGTCCGACTTCTCCACGTTACCTTGTAGTAGATGTCCGCGTTGTTCTCCACGTCGTGTGCTAGAAGGTTTGTCTGTGAACCTACCAACAGCATGTCTCTGCGGGCGGACTCTTCCAGTCGCCCCGCTGCGAGGCCAGTAACCTGATAGACAGATTGTGCGTGTCACCGTTGCGTGCCGTACGATTCAAAAATTGGATCCAAGGATGTCTTTCCTTCGCCGCAGATGACGTTGCGAATGAGAAGAAGATCGCGAAGATCGCCGTGAACGATTTCCATGCACTCATGAGCACACTTCACACGAGGTGGCCGCAATGCTACAACACACACATTTCACAACGGAACGTCGAACAGAAACAGGCTGTTTGTCTTGCATGAACGACCTCTAGACTACTACAGCAGCAGCCAAAACATTTTGTAGACCCACGAAAACCAAGGGGCAGAAAAAAAAAGGGCGCGTCAGGTGTTTCACGGATGAAGGTGGGAAGCGGAGTGCTACGGTAGGTGCAGCTTGTGTACCTCACGGTTCATGTTGAGGAAATGCGTGTCTCCGGCGGACTTTTTCTCTCCGGTCTGATACGCCATGGCGTTTAACGTTTGCGCTGGAGTACCGCCGATTGTATCAGCGCCGGTACCACTGGAAGATAAGCCGCGTTGAGAGTTCGGGCAGTGCACGAGAATCTTTCCCGCAGACGTAGCACACGTAAGCGACGGCCGTTTCCCATCATCTGTGTTGTTGAGTAAGGCCAGGTTTGTTCGGTGAATACCGATCCGTTGTACCTTGTGTGTACGTGCATCTAGCTGCGCACAAAAGTCAAGGCAATGAAAATCACGGGGCTGCCAAAAGTATGCCCTAGATCGTGGGTGTGGAAGACAGGGGGATGCTGCACCTACGGGGTGTGACTACTGACGACGGGTCGCTGAGCAATCCGCCTGACAAGCAGTAGAGGCGAGTTCTTCGTGTCAGCGGTGTTCCCCCACGGGCACGAACGCCTTGCATCGTATCCGCGTGCATGTTGGTGAGCAGGGAACAGTTTTGGTGATTAAATACCTGCAAACACTGCACTCACATTTACCAACGCAAACCAAGCCTGTCTTGACAGGGTGGTTGAGATGGAAGGTGAACGCTGCGGCGATCTTCATTCTTCTGCTGGCAAGGAGTGCGGACCAGTTCCAACAGAGTTTGCCACAGCCAGTCGTTGGAGAGAAGGGTAATCAAGTCATCATTTCGCAAGGTCCCCTGAACCCTGATTTTTCTCTAACGAAATACCTCGAATCACTTGGACTTTCCCGTCGCTCCCCCGTCACGCATACCCGCCTCCAAGATCAAAGATACTGGAAGAGTTGGATTGGAGGCACGGGTGTCGAGCAAGGTTCTACAGTATACTTCGTAGCGAAGGAGACGGTGTGGATCACCTTTCTTCGAGTAGGTGACGTCCGATCCGTGGACAGTACTCTTGCCAATTGCAGCGATCCGCGTGCAATCCACATGGATTCGGGTTTGCGGTGCCGCGGTGCCGCGGTGCGGCGTAATTGACCCATCCATGTGCGGTGCAACTACGAGATGCGGGGCTATTGAGCCCGATTGGGAACCGTTTTCGCGGAACCTTCTCTCTATGGATTTGCGGGACGCTCCTAGCCTGGTGCCGGCTGACTGGTTCTGAGGCGGCAGCAACATCGAAGCCGCGCGATACTAGCACACCAGCTATAATCTTCGGCGACAGGCAAGCATGCGATATGCACCACGTACAGCACCCGCTCGAGCGGTCAGCTCACCACCCTCATGCAATGAAACTTCTCGATCCCGACAACGTGCGAAGGCTTTTGATGCTTCGCAGTCTGGATGCAGACCACTCGGGACTACCATCGTGGCATGACAGCGGAACCTTGCCGCACGTGCCGGAGACTGACAGCGGCTTTCACCACGATGGAACTTGTGCGGTGGTCGATCAATGCGATGTGAACAAGCTCCTGGCGCTGGATATCGAGGAACTCATGCAACACACCTTCCGCTTTCAACGGCGGCGTCACATAGCTTCATACGTGAGGGAACATTAGCTGCACCGTTTGTTGTACTGTAGACAGCAGATGCTTCGATGACGTGTACTGTAGTCGGGCAGAGGATTGAATTGCCACCAAATGACGCCCGCGTAGGTAGAGCGGTGGAGATGAACAGCTCTGAAAGCCGCACCTCAGCATTTGACAGAAAAACTGAAGCAACGAATACAGAGGCGAGGGGTGGCGGAACGTTGAACCGTCATACACAATGGTACGTGTTAGGAATAGCAGCAGTATTTGGTGCAAGGCGATAATCCAGGGCAATGGTATTTTCCACCATGCGGTGAGGACAACACTCCAAGAGGATGAAGTGCTACATACGTTGCTTAAACCATGATACGAAGATACCGCTTCTCCCTCCTTTTCGGAGGCTCTTGTAAATTGACTACTGGTTGGAGAATGCGTGTTCGGGCAAAAAATAAAAGACTGCTCGTGTTGGTGCGGTGCGATGTCCTCTAAGAGTGGCAAAAGTGCCGTGCTGTCGTCGATCTCGACAGCAACGCCTTGAGCAGGGTTCACACAGAGGGCAATAACCTGGAGATAGCAAAGGCCGAGCACGCAACGCCAGGGTTCACGCGTGTACTACACAAGTGTCCTTCAGTAAACCGTGTCCAACGTGTGTGGAAAAGTCAACGACAACTTCGACGTTCTACAAGGAAAATATTACAGCGCATACAAATGATTGGAAACACGTCGCCGTCTTTCTCACCACAGGCATCGGACACCCGTGGAGTCAGCGATACGGCGTTCGATTCGAGCTTGAAAACGACGAAAGAAAGTACCAGGAAGGCTGGAGGCCGACGTTTGCAGACTACGGTGCGGGGCAAGCCCCGAAAAAAGCGGAGAAGGACATCCAGGAGTGATTCGCCATCTCCGTCGGACATAGGACCTATCCCTTTACGGCTGTCTTCTGCGATCAGGAACAATCGGCAGCCCGAAAACAAGCCGATACGGGCACTACCGCTTCACATGGGCTTGTCTCCCTCAGAAACCAAGGTAAACACGTTTTTGGTGTCGCAGCACTGTAGTTCGTTCATAAGTTTCATTGCAGCGAGACAGAAGAGGTTTGCTTTGGCCTCGAAGGTTTGTTTTCAAGATGTACGTTATCCGTTTTGAATTCAACGTACGAGCATGCCCTGACGTTCCGCGTCGCCCTCTTCGCTGGCGCACGATAACGTTCCCCATATCATCTACGACAGCATATGCGTGCAGCTCTAAATTTAGCGAGCCATGACGCTCGTCTTTTGAGGACGAACCTGAAATACGCGTTGGGGAATGCGGAAGGACTTCTGCCCGAGAAAGCGGCACGTGCTGCTGTTGATTCACTTGTTGCTCGTGGTGACACCCACGGCGACCTAGACACAGAGACGGCACTAAGGCTAAGCAGAGCAGTTGCTCCATCTCCAGACTCTGCCGAAGGCCGCGCAAAGTCGACAGGAACCAGACAAGAGATGAATCCTGAGAGCGAATGTACGGCCGTCGGTGCTAGATGTTCGTCTCCTGACAACAATCGTTTCGGCGCCTCTCCATCAAGTGGGGGGGAGGCGTCTCCCCAAGGTGGCGTCGGCCTTGATGTTGACGAAACCAACCACGTTCGTCCGGACGATGACGAAAATATCTACCTCAAACAACCTACGCGCAAACATCCCAACAGCGTCGATGGAGAAAAACGGGTTGTGGATCGGCAGCGTCTGATTGTCGTTCTGGCGGCGGAAGAACGGATCAATGCCATGGCCAGTCACCTCGGACCACTCCAAGCAACGACCAACTTATTCTCGTTGCTTGTGCCGGCGAAGGAGCAATTGGACGGTCCACTTGCTCCGGGTCTCTCGGGAGAACCTGAGAACCGTTCCTGGACAGCCGCAACAAAGCAACGAGAGGCACATTCCACGGCAGGAATTCCAAACCCGAGCCACGATTTTTCTGTTCCTAGTGAGGACGGACGATCCTGGCTGGGAACCCAGGGGCGCGCATACAGCGCCGAAGACGCCCTGTTGCACCCCAAAGAGGACGACAATTGGCGAAATTCAGTTGCTGCCGCTTCATTCAGGAAACGAGCAGGAAGGGGAGGAAGAGGAGGAGGAGACACGTCTGATGCCGAGGGCGACAACCACTGCCGAAAGAAGCGGAGTAAACGGAGTGAGAAGAGAGACACAGGCGCGGAAAAGGAACAGCAAGGGGTGACATACAGGGCCGGCGACAATCAACGATCCCGATTGAAGAAATCCAGTTCTTTTGCAGCGGGTCAGCGGCACCAAGCAGAGACATTTGAGGCCAGCGCTGTGGACAACCCATCGCGATGTTCCCTCCCTAAGCTTAAGGCTTCAAGCGTAAGCCGGTAAGAACATTGAGGGCTTTGTTAAAGCCACTGCTGCGTGTTGCATGGAACCGCTCCTGTGGCACGTCCATCCTGTTTTTATACGCTGCATGATTCTTCCTCGTGCGAAATTGGTTCTCGCAGCTTCTTTGCGTTCTCTCGCCTCACACGCCTACCCCGTTGAATTTCCCGCTGGTGTGAGAAGTGTCTCCTCGCGGGATGAGTACGACCGGTTCGGTGGCCGAGAGACACCGTCCGTGCTTCGACGAAGTGCGCTGTCGGGAGGTGGTGAGATGTCCTGGAAGGCGGTGGAGCAACTTCGTCATCAGCTGGAAGTCACCGAGGTGCCAACATGTGTGCTGCTTCGTCAAGCGCACTGGGAGTACAACCTTCCGAACGCGGTTCATTTCTATTTCAGAGTGATCAGATGGTGACAACTTTGCGTAAACATGTACTCCATGGCCTATTTTCCCTCCTCTATGATTTGCTTTTTGCCTGAGGCTTTGCCTCGATGGGTCTGTCAGACAATGAATGCCACGGAAGCAGTCCAGGCGGGGGCTGCATGTTGCAGCGAAGGTGTAGGTGCTCGCAATACGTAGCCATGGGCACGATGAGGTCGATACATCACCACACTGGCACCGATCAGTGTTTTTGACGAGATCTCATCGGAAAAGTCGTTCACACGTGGTTGCCAACGAGATAATGTACACCCTTGAACCTCTTTATTCGTGAACTGCACGTCATGTCGGGCATGTGCCTCAAACACCTGTGGCGGGAACGAAATCACGGAACCCCTCCGCATACAACAACCAGTGCGGGCTGCTGGATCTCAACGCGAGGGTACGAGCGGACGTGGCTTGGGTGCAGGAGACAGTCGGAGCCAGGATGTCCCACAGGGCTAGGGTATCGTGCTGCAAGTGGGGCTCAGAAAAGATTGCAGAACTTACTTTTAGGTCAGTGACTACCAGCTATTCGCACACGTGTTTTGTTGGTCTCGCGTTTCTGCGACATATGTATCGCTGTTGTGATGTCTGTCGCCCTTCGCCAGAACAGCACTGGAAAGTTGGACAATCCAAGTGGGGTCCTCTGAAGGGTTCGTGATACTGCCAATGGTGGCGTGAGCCAACTCGATACGGCCCTATTCGCGTAATCGCATATGGCGGCGCAGGTGGGAACGGCGATCGCTAGGCAAGGCCATGAGGACGTGGACACGCTACCGCGAATACATGGCGAACAGGTGAGGACGGTTGAATGAACTTGGACGCCAAGGGTGTGCAAAGGTGTGGGCGTCACACAAGCATTGTTTTGCACGATTGACAACGATTTGTTTCGGGGCTCTCCAAATTGTTGAAGTTAATAGAAGACAATGTTGCCTTCGGTCCAGCGGCCCCCCTCCCTTGTGGGTGCGGGTCCAGCCAGCCGTAGCATGCTGCATAGCTTAGGCAGCGCCGAATGGACTCAAGGCTACAGTATGTCTGGATCCCGACATCCTGCCGAACGTCGTTGGCAAATTGATGTCGGCTGCAAATGATATTGCCCGCACCTGTTTTTTGCTAAGGGATCTTGTCCGAGCATATATGAAGCGGAGGGGCGCGGCGCAGGCTCGGCGTCTCCTGAACATGTGGGGGCATAGGTTGACGTCAAAGGTGAGAAACGTTCTGAAACCCACATCGAGTACTATGGAGCTCGTAGTGTCATGCTACGATGGCGCCCTTGATGGTGAGAGTTGGTCGGGAATGTAAATACTGGACGCTGACGTGCCGTCAGGGGATCAGAGTAAAGGGTCGTGAACGCCTCTTCCAAATACTATCTTTTGCTAAATGTCCGCCAATAAAGCTCAAGGGCTGATATGAGCCAAGAGGCTGGGTGAACAACCACCGTTCCGTGTGTCGCGTGGTCACCATCAGGCTTTGGGTGAGTGGAGGAGACGAGTGCGGCTGGAGAGGAGGGCGGAAGAGGCAGCAGCCGCTTCGACGCTCCAGAGGGTTGTTCTTGGGTTTTTGGGACGCAGGCAAGACAGTACATCTAAAATAGAGAGGAATAGACAATAAAACGGGGAAGACAAAGATGCGTATTGATTGGGGGGCTAGCGAGAATGCGAACGACAGCTAGGCGAGGAGGATGGCATGTGTCCGGAGTTGCCAGCTTCTGGTCGCCCAGGAAGATCAGGAAAATATATGTGTTGCAGTATTCTGACGGGCGGATTCCCTTTCAGCCCATCTTTACGGCACGATCACCACCATCGCTATCGCCAAAACAAGCAGAAGCGTGAGCTTTATCACCGTCTCCACCGCCGTGTCCACGAGCCGTTCTCGAACCGCCTGCGTATCTCTTATGCCACACACGCACGACAGGCGGTTTCGATGCGCCTTGGCGACGCGGTGCGCGATCCGTATCCAGAAGGCCGCCAGAGGCAGGGCGGGTAGACTACGGGCGGGACGCGCTCGAGAGGGTATTCGAAGAAACTCCGCAGCGACCAAGATTCAACACCAGGTGTCCACAAGGAGGCCATTCGAACAGTTTTTGAGTATGCTGAAATCTAACTCCAATGACAGACACTCCGCAGGAGTGATCAGTCAAGAATGGACGAAATAGTGTGGCGTCCACAAAGAAAATAGAGCTACAGGCACAGAGCAGGCGAAACATCCAACAAGCAAAGGACTCCGAATGTCGCAGTCCAGAAATATCTAATTATCAAGCCAGGGAGATACCTCGCCACGCATGGTGGAAGCAACCTACACCTGGCTTCGCACCGACGCCCTTGCAACCCGGTAGCAATGTCTTTGATTGGCTCATACTCGAAGCTCCGTTTGGGGCCAATGGACGTTGTGGGGGATGCACCTTTTCTTTTCTGTCGTCGAAATACACAGGTTAGGAGGCGAGGGGAGATACGCCGATCCAATAGGATTGCGGCCCTGGAGACGCGCCGGCGCGGAGCGATCAAGGTAGGTGCCCATATAACGTATTATACCTTCGCGGCATAAGTGACCAATAGGCGCAGCTGTGATGGATTCCATGCTGTAGATTGTGGTGACGGTTCTTCTGCTGTAAACTAGCCGTGGTTGTTATCATAGCATGTCTTGGTGCACCATGGTTCTTTCTGCTCGCTGTGTGACCCTTTCTCCCCGACGCTCTACATCAATCCCTATTGCCACCCCCCTCCACACGAAACCACCAATGGTTCGTGTCCCGACAGATCCAAAAATGCGCGAGGGGCTTCATCGGCCGTCGGAAGGTGTTGGTTGTCCGGGAAAAGCTTCTACATCAACACGGGTCCGTTATCATTCAGACCACGTGGAGGGGCCTGTTGGGCAGGCGAAAGGCTGGAGAAGCCAGGAGGGACATGGAGCTTACGCGGGTGCGAATGCGCTGCGCTCAGAGGAGCAACGTGATTAGATTGGTCTCCGCCCAAACTATTTTCAGGCACGCGAACGGAACAGATGATGTCTTCGTAGGCAGAATGACGTCTCTCAAAATGCACGCTAACCAGGGCCCTTCAATCTCCGTTGACTTGAAAACGTTTCACCAGCGTGTGCTGCGGGATTAAGGCGGCCTCTAATTGGCGCCAGCTACGAATGAAGCCGAGGATGGGTGCACCCCCGCCCTTTTCTCTCTCGCCCTATCACCCCACGGAAAGCACCACCCGTATCAAGACACATTCAGCCTGTACACGGCCTACACAAAGCACACGCATAGACAGCCAGTTTCGTTCACTAACGAATGCGTGAATGCCCGACAACACTATACGCAATGCTCACAACGATCCAGTAACATGCTTTTGGTCGTTGCTGCATGTTAAGCAGGTCGATGCCTACACTGTGAACCCACCCATATGCTCTCAATGGAAGAATATTCGTTACCCAAAGACAACCTCAATGGACGTCGAACCCTGGTTTATTCGGGCAAAATATCTGCTTGCTCAACGCGTCATGAGCGATTTTCCGAGAGCACCATCAATTCATCTTATGCAACTCGAGACTGCACGCGCGGCACACCCACACCCCCTCAGGCTGCAAGGAATAAGGCGGCGATTCGCATCCAGACCGCGCAGCGCCGGCAGGCTGCGATGGCCGCAGCAGAGACGAGGAGGACAATCCAAGCGCTACAGCGCCGTAAGTCGGCCGAGATCGCCGCCATCTTTATCCAGAGAGTAGTGAGGGGGCAGGCAGCGCGAGCGGCGACAGGGGCTGAGGTCGCAAAAAGAAAGGTGAGAAGCGGAGTCGGTGTCACCCCAAATCGTTTGGCTCCCCTTTAGCACTTGAAGCAAAACCTGTCAAGTACTTAAAAAAAAAACCTTTGTACCGTGAATGCCAGCAAGGGGGAGGGTCCTTCTCCTTTGCTAACGCCTCCTGTAAGTGAGCATTTCTTGAGGCCAAATACGTTCCTAGCTGTCACGCGGTTTAGCATCAATTCTTGCCCGCGTGAGGGCACGCTTCAAGGTCTCCATGCCCCGCGACCCAGACCAACGCCTACCGATTTACATACCTGAGCAGATGTGCTTCGTGGTGTTGCTCGTGTGTCTGCATGTTCTTAACCACGGTACCGCACATTTGTCATACTTTTTTGAAGCCTGACTATTCATCTCCGAGGTTTTCGAGAGCCGGCGATCACCCAAATCTATTCAAACAGTTTCAGCGAAATGGATGAACACGGCGGTACCGAGCGAACCACTTCCAACTGTCTAACCCTAACACGACACATCCGCCGTGTCCCTTTGTCCCTTTCTGACCATGTGCTATTTCAAACTCGATGCTCGCTTCCTTGTCAGGAGAGGCAGCGAGCCGCAGCAGCGGTACATATCCAGCGAATCGCGAGAGGCCGCGCAGCGCGGGAGCGTACCGCTTGCGTCGGCATCTTCCACGACATAATCATTCCTCCACCTCCCTTGGCCTCACTGCAAAGCCGTTCGAATCAGGGCGACGAGGACCAAGATGGCTTCGCTTCTTCAGTGGTTGCTGGCCCTGAAGCTGTTGCCGACAACGGTGGCGTGGGGGCGCCTATTTCAGCGTCGACGTTGTTGCAAGAGCCGATCCAGACCTCGGCTCTGCCGCAGGAAGACAAGAGTAATGCTCAGGATGCAACGGCCGTGCCACAACACGAGACAGAGAGTTCACCGTCGGCAACTGCTCATCTGCAGCAACCCCCTGATGTCGCGGCCCTGTCCCATGGCGAAAAGGCAGCCCGGGCGCAAGCTGCGTGCAGGATTCAGGTGATCATCGCCACCCGAACCATGCACCAAAAACGTCTGACAGCAAAAGAGCAGAAGGAGCGGGCTGTTATTGGCTCATGGCGTGGGTCCATTATCCGAACCGACGGCGGCAGGGTTTCACGATAACGTCATGTCAGGCTAAGTCTCGATGCGAGAGCAATCGAGGAGCGCCTCAAGTAGATGAATTGCATCCCCCCGCCGAGAAAATGCTCAATCTTCGTGAAATGTCGACAAAAGAAGAAACAAAGCTTGATTTCCGAAGAGCATCGAGCTCGTGAAATATCTGTAGTGATCATTGACGCTCAAGGTTGTTCGTTCCAAGGATTTTGCAGCAGTATCCCCTTTTCCGCACCTACACTCGCAGGCAATTGGCCGAGGGAGAGCCGCGAGGACTGTGGCCCAGGAGCGCAGGCAGAAACGAATCGAAGAGCAATTCCACCGGGCAAGCGTTTGGGGGCAACGAGTAGACGGAGGGCAAGATACAACGTCAAACCATCGAGCATCCGAGAAACGCCCCACCCCCAAGTCGTCACCGCAAGCTCCACGGCGGTCGTCATCGCTCTTCCCATCGGGGACTGGGGCAGCTAGTCGCGATACGACGGAATCATTGGGGAAACAAAAGGGTCGGCCCCAAGCTGCGACTCGGATTCAGGCAGCGTTCAGGGGGGGAAAGGCGAGGTGGGAAGCGGATCGGCTTCGGCACGACGTCAAGACCAGAAAGATCGAGTCCGACGCGCGAGCGCGAGAGAAGGTGCAGCGAAAGTCTTGGCGTATGGTTCGGATGAGAACCATCAGTTTCTCGAACCAATCGACAAAGCTCTCTTCTCGTGGTGCAATAGTATTTCCGCCTCGAAGTCTCACGAAGTCTCACGGTAGTTTCCGCGGGTGCATGGAACATGCCATCGTTAAGGATCTAATCGATTTTCCAGCATGTCAAATACATTCAAAGTGCTTGAGCCAGCACTTGCCCGCCCTCTCAATGGATCATCACCCCGCGACGCACACCAGAACAGACGGTTAAACAATGTTTCAAGAAGAGTTTGTAGACCATGCACACTCAGCAAAACCTAGTGCGAAGAATTGTTTTCATTGTTACGATCCCACAGCGACTGCTCAACACCTTGAACGCGAGTCTGCGAGAAAAATGATCAAATCATACTCCGCTGTGCAACCCGCGCGTCGTCGACCGTACAACGACAATCCCAACAATAAACCTCATTACCTTTCTGGACGTTTCGGTTACTGTCAATGCAGTTGGAGGCAGATGCGGCCGTGAGGATTCAGACCCAAGCACGAGCTAGGGCAGCCAGAGCGCGGCGCGAGGAGCATCGCCAGAGGCACGCCGCTCGCGTGGGATCCATCCGCAGCAGCGGGAAAGCGGCTGCCGACGACCTTCGCGCCTTGTCTCGTCCCGGAACCGCTTCTGCTGCAGTAGCGGCTACCACCATTGGCCAATCGCCCACCGTCGTAGGAGCAGGTGACCATGGGTTGTTGACTAGAGCTGTCGCATAACCTAAACGAACAGTTTGCAAGGGGGCTGCCTCCACTGGATGACGTATCCAGCTGCCAGAGTAGCCAATCATGCTCTGGACTAACCGCCGTTTGAACTCCTTGTTGAACAGGAGATGCGAAAGGAGACGTTGCGTCCACCTTGGAGCAGACCGCCCAAGATCTGCTGCCGATAACAATGGGATCGATGTCGCCAAAGGCGATGTCGCCAACAGGATCGGGTGGATCGTTCTCGCTCCCCCCTCCCGTCGAGCTAGCCGCTATCCGAACCCCGTCGTCTGCCGGGTCGCCGATATCGATATCCGCGGCCGCCTCTGCTGCCGCTGCTCTGGCCGCCACCGCGGGGACCGTGGTTCATGGGAAATACGCCACGAGTCGTAAAAGAAGCAACATCGCAAGCAATGGAAGCCCCAGCGGTGGGGGGGGAACTTCGAGAATAAGACCGGGCAGCACGAGGGCATCGGCAGCAGGCCCGGGTGGACGATCACGGTCACAGTCGTCGGCAAGGTACGGCGTGTTTTGAACAATGTTACAACCGCATTGAAAGAGACAATGCACCATGGAAGAAAGTCTTGTCTCGGATGACCCTTTGTATTCCAAGAAACCTTTCACCTGGTGGACGATTGTGGACGCCCTGATGAAGTTCATCCTGTTCGAAATGTGCGAAATGTTCATAGGTAAGAGCGGGTTGATAACCTGCAGAGACCGCGACTTTAGTAATGGGGCACGGTACAGGTCAGCGCCGTTTCCGCGAGCCTTCTTTATGAATGCCCTGTGAGGTGGGGCGACCGTCTTGAAGCGAGACGCCGCCCATTGAGCAGTCTTCCATTGGGTCAGAATGTGTGCGTCTGACCAAGTGCAACCTCATGATAGAGGTGAGGGACGGAGCGCAACCTCTTCCACTCTCTGATAGTAGCTGCACTGGGTACCACTCCACATATCGAAGCAGATAGTGACGGATTTAGGTAGCGAAGTCCATTGAACTACAAGCCATTTTTTTCAGGTATGTCGCGCCCCCCTGGCTCCAATCTGTCGTTCAATTTATGTAGAGCAAGCAACGAAAACACGTGCCGTTGTCTTTGTCAACAGCCCGAAAAAATCACCGAGTACAAGATCGGCACCCAACGCGGCTCGTCGTTCGGTTGCGTCGCCGCCGAGCTCTTCGAGGACAGCAGGGGTCACCCCAAGGTATGCGACAACTTGATGGTTTCTCCAGTGACAAACAACGTTTGTTATCCTGCTCGACTACAACTTGGAAGGTTGCCCTCGGGCGTCTGAATTGTTGTTGTCTCCCGCCTCGCGGTTGACCCTCGGGTTGACTTGTTTCGAACAAGAGACGTGGGAAACTTTGTCACCACCGTTTGTCCCGGCCATCACCGTACCGAAATCAAGTTGTTTTTCTTGCTCGCCTCCGGCCCTGAACTTCATCTCGAAGCAGCCGTGAACGTCGAAGTGTTGCTAGCAGGGGTGATCGTACCACCATCATGGATCACAGGCGAGAAGGCGACGACGGTTGCGGCATTGGAGGTCACGACGTCGGCGAGGGGATGGAGATGAGTGTGGCAGACCTGGAGCGCGTGCACGCCGAGATGAGAAAGGGTCTTGAAGAAGAGTTAAACGTGAGCGAGAGACAATCAGACAGAGATGGGGGGAGCGAGAGAGGGAGAGAGAGAGCAAGAGAGAATGAAGGCCTGTCAGGAAAGTGGACGGACCGACAGAGGCAGAACCGCAGGAATCTCCCTCAATTGAACTAGCGTCACCACTTGCCGCCACATGAACCACTGTGAAATAGTCATAAACATGTAGAGCTGTCATTTCCCCGGTTTGTCCAGGCTGTATTTTTCGGCAAAAGGAGTGCAGGACATAGCTATCTCGTGCAACACGAAGTCGCTGATCATGCCTCCGCGGCTATTACGCCTGCGGTCGAAACGCAAAACTGTACACTTCCGGGGCTTGCCCCTTCCATCCCCAGCATAAAAAAGTGACACACGCCCCGTAAATTCCTTTTTTCTCACCACCGACAAAACGTCCGCATCGACCGATGTGGTCTCGCTCAACCACAGTATCACAGGATGTCATTTATGACTTGTCGTGCAGCTCCGACTTTCTGTCATGAATGTGGCATCCGACTGCTCTACAGCCCAACTGAACTTCGCCAGATCTGTCGTTGTCGTGAGCGATGCGACCTACCCTTCCTTGCTTGTTGTCATACCTCTTACAAAGAGCCTGCTTGGCGGCTGTCCAGCATGCCAATGATGTTCGGATAGAAGGGTGAAGGCCCCCTTTCACCACCTATGCCATAAATCGTTACCTGTGTAGGAAGGCTAAGGTATGCGAGAAGTAGTCTTATGGCGTGCAACAGAGACAATCACGCGAACAGATGATACCCAGGTCTATCGACCCTCACTGTCGCTCTGCTTGGTGCCTGCTCGCGCCACGTGCCGTTGCTGACAAAAATATCAAAACGACAAATAACTACTCTACTGGCAGAGGGAGCTCAGAGATGCCATCGAGAAGGAGCTGGTGGCGAAGCTGGCCGAGCAGGAGAAAGAGAGAGAACGAGTCTCGAAGGAGGCAGAGGAGGAGCGAAAGCGAGACAGGGAAGCCGTCGAAGAGGTGGGCGACGTCTCTTCGTTAAACTGTATAGTTGATTCTGCCCGCCATTCCAACCTCCGTATAGTGCCAGAATCATGCTTTGGAACCCGGCTTACTTCAACTATAAAGCATGTGAGTACAATCTTTGGGGCTCGACTAAGTCGACACCACATCAAAATTTGGAGAATTGGAAGACGGAGCGTTGGTTGATCGCGCTTGCTAAGCACCCCATGGAAATTATATTTTCGGGATAACGTTGAACGTTCCAAAACTTTTGTACAAGCGTGGTTTCCTCTCTGCGCGTTTTCCTTTTATGGCATGCATAGGCTATGCGAGCTGTGCAAGAAGCACATAATAAGGACTCGGAGGATATCGCCCTCATTAAAGTTCGGCTCAAAGAAGAAGAGGTGAGTTACTGCAACACTCAGCAAAAGATCTGTGATACTGCTGTGGTGAGTTGATGTTGCACGCGCAGCGCGTTCCTCCGATCTGACTTTGAATCGGCACCTACCGCTGGCGGGAGTCAGTTCAGACGTGACAACATCGAATTCATTGGCATAAATATGGTCGAAAGTGCGCGGTGATCTAGATATGTCGCGAGTCTTGTCGGCATTCTCTTTTTCACCGCTAATTTTCCTCTGAATACATCGCCACAAACAACGCATAACCAAGGGGTTCCTGACCCCGTCGTCGGAGTAACTCGATCTTCTCCCCTAATCGAACCTTTACTCCACAAAACGAGCCAAATCTCTCAACTGACGCACCCGCCAGAAACGGACGTTTGAACGTGCCCTCCTTCTAGGGGATTGATGGCTGTTCGTCTAACGTGGTATGATTCTGCACATGGCGATGATCGCTTACTGGAAACGGACAAACGTGACTGAGAATGCCCACAAGGAGGAAGACAATGTGTGGATCGATGTGTAAGGGGGGCAACTGATTCTGTCATCTCTTGGGGGGCTCCTCTGGCGTTCTATATTTCATGCAAGGAGGTGCCGCTATGAAGCAATGCCGCTTGTTCGGTGAAGGAGATATTTTTGCAGGAATCGTTTGGCTCAAGAGAAACTACTACACGAACTCGCAAGAAATACAAGTAACTTTTGATCTCGTCTAACGCTCGGAGTCAATGTCGTTGTTGACGTTGTAGCTTGCCAGTATTGATGGGGGCTCCTACTACTGGTCTTGTTTCTTTCACAATTTAAAAGGTATTGGCCCCTGTCTGTTGTACCTCCCATGACACACAATGAACGAACATATTCTTCTGGTGTTCGCAGGCTAGCCCGAGCGGAGACAACAATGACAATACGATAGTTTCCTCGAGGCACCGTGGATGTTGTCGGGTGGAATTCGAGGGATTCTACCGCGTGTGAAGATGTGGTGAACCTGTCGCAATGAAAGTTTTCCACTGAAGTGCGCCCACGCCCCCTGCTTGCTGAAATCAATGGTCCTGATCCAAGCAAGCTCGGCTTGTCTCGAACACTCCCCTCACTTCTGTGCAGGACGCACGCCGTGCCGAACAAGACGCCGCCCGGCAGGTGTACGAAAATTGTCTCGCAGCAATTCGTGCCGAGGTGAGGAGATGGAAAGCGAGGGGGCGAACGCGCAAAAAAAGACAGAGAAACAACAATTAAGTTAAACTATTGTCAGCCTCGGCGAGTTGATTGACTGCCGAGAAAAAGAGGCATCGTGCGCATTGACCATTTAAGCATGTGAATCATCTGTGAAGAAGAGCGTGGTCTGCGGTGCCTGATTGGCCACTACGCCACTGCCTATGGTCAAATGCACGTCCACCGCGTGCAGGCCGAAAAAAGTCGAGTTGCTGCCGAGGCGGTCGAAGCCCTTCGCCGCGAGGTGGCAGAGGAGGAGGAGAAGCGAAAACTCCGCGAAGAAGCCGACGCTCAAACGAAAGACCAAGAGGCGAAGGAGAAGCGAATTGACCAGCAGCAGAGCCGGGGGAGGGGAGCGGACAGTGTTGGAGCTGACCCACTTCAGGTATATGGGACGAGGAGAATAACACATGAAGAGCGGAGGAGGGACAAATCTAGCAAGTTGGACGAGGCGACTGGAGTGCGCCGTAGCAGCGGTGTTTCCGTTAGCGGTGTTTTTCTCCCGACATATGATCGACAAAAATCCTTCAACAGCGATGATTCGGCGAGACAATTCACATCCCGGACGAGTTCGACAAAAGACCGCCAGCGTTTCACCGCACCTCGTGATGCTGTAGCTCCTCTGTGCGCACGACTGCAGTAGTCCCTACAAGTGCGGGACTCGGCAATAAACTTTTTTTTCTGAATGCACACTGCGGAAATTCGGCTGCTCAGGAGCAGGGGCACCAGCTCGAGGAGAAAGATGAGGGGGGAGAGAAGGAAGAGGAAGAGGCGGAAAGACGAAAGCAGAGAGAGTTTGAGGAAGAGCAGCGGGCGCGCGACGAGCGGCAGAAGGACGTCCTGCAGCAGCTGGCGGCGGAGAATGTGGAGAAGCAACGTGTGGCTCTGGCTCAGCTTCAGGTGAAATTGTTTTGGTTGTGTGTTTGCCCGAATGGAGAACGCGAAAGAATGAATCTCGCTCAACAGCTAGTTGTGAGCGAGTTGCTCTATAAACCAAGTTTGATGCATGCCAGCTGCTTCACGGCTCTCGTGTGATCTACATCCTCGTGTACGTACGGACAACGACCTCGACATGTCCAAGCCGTACCATGGGTAGAAATGCGCTAATCGCGTCACGCACCCAACAAGAAAGCCCACATGTACCATCAGCATGTCCACGCAGTCTACTACGAAAATTTGACCCCAAAAGTTTTCACCCTTTGTAATATTCGATACCTTCACAAACGGATCCAACGGATCTGTGGCGACGTCGACATGCCTGGCGAAGCGAATTCACAACGTGCATGATTCGATGTTCATTATATCAATGTCCGCTTCGTTCGTAAAGATTCACGCTGTACTCGCATGTCCTTGAGAATGATGCTGGCGGGATCGATCGCACAGTCGTGTGGCCGATGTGCCCTACGTGAATGTCTCTTTCTTCGCTGGTACGCCACAAGAAGAAGTGAACAGGTGTCATTCACGGGTGATACCACGGCGTCAATGTGTCTACATTGAATCCTTGGTGCGATCGGCCCTAGCGGAGAACAATCCGCTTGGTGTTGCCTTGCACCAGTTCTTGCATGCGGTATGATCCAAGTCGGCGTCGATCATCGACATCACCTCACAGGCGCAGCTAGAAGAGGAGGAGGCGAAACGGCTAGAGTCTCACGCCGCCTGGGAAGCTCTCCAGGCAGAGAAACAGGAAATTGCACAGGTGAGCAACAACGATTGATCTAGGATATGGCAGACCTTACACAAGAGACCCTCGGTGTCAATCACCCCGAAGTATTTGTTCTGACGTAGGCCAACACCGGCAACAACACTTGTGGTCTTCTTACAATGACGATAAACTATTTAAGTAACGCCATTGGGTTGGGGAGGCTCACGAAGGTAAGGGTGAGGCAGCTGTGAGGGCTGTCATTTCTTCAAACTTGTGCACATGAGTGAGTGTGCTCATGGGACTTCAAAAAGCTGTCGCGCTATCCTCCCTTCATGAATGCACATACTGTCGAGCCGACGCACCGTCGATGAACCGCGTAGTGTCGGGTTGGTTTTCAACACTTCCCAAACTAGCCGATTTGCAAGAACTTGATTAAAAAAGTACGCGTCATCGTGTACGGATGAAAGTGCCTCGAGAACCATGCGCTTTCGCCGGCTTTCGTTTGGTCAACATCTTGTTGCTGCTGAGCTCCGGCCATACTCGATGAGGCAGCTGGTTCCACGCTGCAGAAGGTGTGCAGCAGAATGGAAGCACCGCTGAGCAGCAATCGTAACATCCGACGAGTCGCGGCTTTGATGGCGTGGGTCTAAAGGGGAAAACTTCCGTCTCCCTTTTTTGGTACTGTTTCTCGCACGCAGACCCCTTTCCGCTTTTCGGTGAGTTGTTTTAAATTGTTTTGTCCACGTCAACAGTGCGGTGACGTCGTGTGATTTTCCTGACCCCTACGCCGCTTTCGGCCCAAAACACACCATTGGGTTGGAACTAAACCCGGTAGTGTTGTGTCCTCCCGCTCCGTCGACGTGATTCCGACACGTACAGGAGGAGAGACGTTTAGAGCTAGAGGCGATCGAGAATTTGAAGCGTCAGCTCCAAGAGGATAAGATTAAGGCCAATCAGGTACCGTCCCAACAGTGAATAATCTTGGAACGTCTCGAACCCTTCATCCCAACGTTTTTATACCTTGCCGATGGAATGCAAACTCACCTTTCTGTGAAATTGCACCCGACACGATAAGTGATGCATTTCAGTCCTTCCTTCTATTTTGTGGGCTACGTACAGCATAACCACATAGTTTCTGAGCTTCGTGCAGATGTCTCGAAGGATTTGTGCGGCCAACGGTTTGTCTCATTGACGAAGTTCCACAGTTTCACGTGGTTGCCGCTGTTACGGGCTTCTCCTTTCCCTATTGACTGAAGATACCGTTCCAGTTTCGTGCACATATCCATTCATGGTCATATTCATTGGTATGGCAGGATGAAACCAACATCTGCACACGTAGCAAGTCGAACTCCTGTAACGTGGGTTCAGCCACATCAGTTTCGCCGACGATGATAGCAAAAGAGCCATCCTTGTCCAGACAAAAAATATTCGATACAAAACCGTGTGCCGCTGACTGCACGATGAAATTTGTTAGGAACAAGAACAACGAAACGCTGAACTGCGGCTGCAGATGGAAAGCCTACGCGTTTTGCAGGTGAGGTACAACCTGACAGCGTGCGGGGGAAACCGTCATGATCGCGACAACTTCAATTTTTACTTTCCACCTGAGGACACAATGTTTTTGCAATACTGTAGCCAGTTTTCGGAATGTTGTCGGGGTCGGCGCTGTCAGCGTTTGATGGCCCACTTCGTGTCGCCCTTTTGCCGCTTGCCAAGTTTCGTGTGATGTTCAGCTACTCATTTGGCTCGATTTCAACACGCAGATTCCGTTCTGCCGTTGTACGTGCACATCCCTTTGGCGTCGATCCGTCTTTTTAGAGGCCGAAAGAGGGCGTTGTGCATTTGCGGTGACTTCGAATCAGCAAAGATTCCGTTAGACAAGACTTTTGCCATTCAATCCCTTCACACCGCGGCCAAGAAGAGTTCTCCTTCCCAAAAGACCCCGCCTGCACATGCGTACAAACAACGGAACAGGAACAGGCCCGGGAACAGGAGCGTGTTCGACAGGAAGCGGAGAGGGTTGCAACCGCCGAAAAGAAGGCGAAAGAGGACGCCATTGTGAGGGAGGGGGCCAAACTCATGGAGGTATGTGTGTGTTTGTGTGTGTTTTGGGAAGAAGCTGCATTTGTCGGACTTTGGGGACAAAAGGACACGGCGAATCAAGAGAGGTGGCGATGAGGGCTTCTCCCATGTGCTTTACGGTACAGCAGGGCGCTTGTGGTGGTGGTACACACGACCGGTTTCGCTCGAGCAGCACCCGTACGATACGGACCATTCAAGCAGGGGGCAGCTAATGTCCCGACCCCAGGTACCGCCGGACGTGCCGAACCATTACCGATGCATATTATTTTCAATCAGGATGGCGACCTAGAGTCCGATGAGGAACGCCACGCGAGAGGTAGCAGTACAGAGACCACCACTACCCGTGGAAGTAGTCGGTCGAAGTATTCTGGAACGGCAGGGAGCTCCAGCCGTCAGACGTCGGCAGAGTCCGGAGGAGGGATGGTATCGACGGATGTGGAAGAGGTGGTAAAGAGAGAGATCGAGTCGGCGACCGGGTCGCGCTTGGCTCAGGTTCGTTCTTCGTCGTATTTGGAAAAATGTGCAGCTCATTTCAAAGGGTAGTGTCGAACCACACGTTCGTGACGAACATTTTTGTATGGTGAACTTGTTTCCCGATTGTACCGGAACAAGAATCCCGCTTGTGTTCACAGTGAGACAACGGCAGAGCCCAAACATCTGGAAGATTGATGAATGCTGTTGGGAGTGGGAGTACAGCTTTTTCTCGTCTACGGACAGTAAGTAGTTGGATTGAACTTGGAAACAAGACGGGAGTTGACCTTGATGTTGGTCTGGGCGAAGAATGTTGACAGGTTTCCGTGGTCAAATTCTTCATCGGTACGAAGAGGATAATACGCCGAGCTGTAGAGGACGTGAGCGTTTTGTATCTTTCGGGTGATGGGCCCCCATAATCTAAGCATCCTGCCAATCTCGCCCGTCTTGATGGTTGGTAGTAAGCAAGGTGCGAGAGCACGCCAGAAATACGACAAACGACGTAATTCAAATACTCTCCAATTTCATGCCCACGAACCTCCGGAACATCAGCAACCGAAATCAACGATTCTTTCCACAATCGGTGCGCCTCATGCACGACGCCATGCAGGTAGAAGGAGCTCTACGAGAGTTATCGAGGAAGCAAGCGGAGCTGGAGAGCAGGGAAAAGCAGCTCGACGAGGCAAACGGAACCTCATCGGCAGGCGCACTTGCTTTAGTCACCAACGCGGCGACCACCAGCGGCGCGTCGTCATCAGGTGAGCACGAGGGAACTGAATGGCAAGTTCGTGGGTTTGCTTGTTGACTACTTTATACGTCGCGTTTCAAGACTACCTGACTGGGCGGTTGACCCATGAACAACATCTATCCAGAGGCGCATACGGGAAGAGAAAACTGACGCGAAAGTCGTAAGCACGACGTCGTCACTGTATTTGTCGCCATCCAGTTGCTACTGGCGCCGAAGCTGGAGGGTTGGTCGTATCCCAAGGTGGAGGCACTGCTGGTGCGGAGTGGGTCGAGTACTGGGACGAGAGCGCAGGCGCGAGCTACTTCTTCAACACCGTAACGCAGGTACATGTTGACAGGGGAATGGGGTTGGAGTGCTGAGCGGTCGGGCGGGCGGGTACAAGCATGGGAGGTACCCCTCACACGTCGGCGCTTCTGAAACGTCACTTGTAGTCGGGCATGAGACTGCTGCGTGTCGTACATGGAAACCCAGGGGGTCGCCACACGTACTCACTCGGCGACGACAATGAGTACACAATGTTGAGGTGTTCCGCATGAACTACACCAAGAGGGAAGAAACATTGTTGGCCGGTCTTGAGCGCGGGACGGATGGCGTGGGTTTGGTTATGTGTGTGATGCTCAATAAGCAAAGTCATCTTGTTTATATTGGGGGTAAACGTACATCGTTGGCGGTAAGATATTGTGGCATTGGCCGGAAGGATTCAAGGTTTTGCCGCCTATTCCTTGTTGGCACTCAGGAGGCTAGCTGGACAAACCCGAACGAAGGAACGGAGTCTAGGGTGGCAGGGGGCGCTATCGTGGCAAGTGAGGCTGGAAGTGGAGGGGCAGGAGGAGAAGGGGGCCGGGCCGCGGGTCCAGAAACACTTTCTCAGCACGAAGACGGCCGTGCAAAGTGGACGGAGTGCTTAGATGAGGCCAGTGGATCGACCTACTACTACAACGTCATCACGGTGTGTGTCGTTGGACTTGAGACCATGATTCAGCAACAATGTAGACTAAAGCATCGTGATCCTTTGTTTATCGCAAAAGTTGTGTATCTTGATCCCTCTCCTTCCCAACGACTGTTGTCTCGCAGATTCAAGGATTATCGATGGCCTCAAAGCGTGTATGTCATCAATGCCCTCACCCGCTAATCTACCTAAACGGCACATGGCGTTGTTGTGATGATCCTACCATCCCGCCCTTGTCCGAAATGGCCGGCATGTCGCCTGCGTGGGCCATTCATTGGTCGGCGAACTCTTGCGTGCCCCCGTGACCTCTCCGTCCACCGTACGTCCTTGACCTTGTGTTTGGTGTGGTCAGGGCGAGGCTGTGTGGGAGAAACCAGCCGAGTTGTCGAACATGAAAGGCGCGGTCGGCGGAGTCCCTCAGTTCGACCGGCCGGAGGATTGGGTGTGCTACCTCGACGAGACTTCCGGGGAGGAGTACTGGTTCAATTTAACCACCGGAGAGACTCATTGGGGATCGGCATAGATCGATCGGGGGTGTGACGCTTCTGGTATGACCCCGCGGTACGTTGTGTTTAGGCTGGTCGTTGCTGTAGGCGGCCGGAAGTTTGGTGAAAATTGTCGTGACCTCGCCAAAACTTGGGATGGCCGGAGAAAGGTCGTCCAGCACTTGTCGTGGGAGTTGCAGCGTACACGCATACGACGACCCATGCCGATGCAACCGGCATTGTAGCTCATGGGAGAAACCACGAGAGGATGCCCCGAGCTTTGAACATGACCTGCCCGCCGCGTATGCCCTGAGAGTTTTCGTCCCTTTCCGCCATGCTGTCAAGCAATGTTTGTGTTGTCTTTCGTCGTTCAATAACCCAGGAACACAACACCACGCACTGGGCAAAATCATCAATCAAGCGTTCCACAGCAGCGTTTTACCACATGATGGTGAATAAAGGATGGGTTCGACAAAGAAAGTACCATCGGTGCCTCACAACTCTCCCCCCACCCTTTATTGTCAAGCAACCGGCAACACTGCACGTAACAAATAACGGAACAATCTCGACGAAACAAAGCACCCCAACATTAGATGCTAACTACACGCATCATTTCTCCTGATGAGCCTCCAAATCAAATCGAGACCGACCGAAGGGATAAAGCATACCGTTCTCGATCGGGCGTAATCGTTCACTGTCACGTTCAAACCTCAACAGTGCCGACTGCTGCCCACGAAACAACGCACGGAAAACTAAGCAGATTCCCAACGAGCCTTGTCACCATCGGTCGACAGGTACGCTGCAACAAGGCTCCCAATACTCCCGTATGTTGATCCACGCAAGTAAAGCTGTTGACTCGAAGCCACACCGCCCGGTGTGTCATTGACATTACTTAGCCACGGCTCCTTCTATTCTTGTTCTTCGTGCGCACCGACTTTCCGGGGCGGTTGGAACCCTTGACGGGTTTCTGCGTGTTGTATTCGTATTTGCATGGGCACGTCAAAGGAGGGGGTCAAGGAAGAGGAAGGAGGGCAAGTTAGCGCCGCCGAGGGATAGCAATTCCACTGCACGGGGCACAAAATCTCTGCCTGAGAAAACTGCAATCCATCTTCGTTTGTGGACACACCGAACCCGTCACGGAAATGGGACGGGCGTCATGCCGAGACTAGCATGACTGGAAAGCCCGGTACACATTGCCGTCGTCGATACTCGAGAAGGGGCCAACGACAGAGACGGTCGTGCGCATGCGAAGCAAACTGTTTCGCGAGAAACCGCTCACCGATCTTGAACGTCCGGAGCCGCCCTGCTTTGGGTTGTACTGGCTGAGGTCGTTGAGCGAGCGCGGGTCGCTCTGGCCCTTCTCCCGCTTCTTCCCGCCGAACCCGTACTTCTTGTTCTTGGCTTCGCGCTTCACGTTCCGTCCCACGGGGCCCCCTTCACGTGTACGAGAAAGGAGCGAACGATAGGGGACTCGGTAAAAAAAACACGCCGTGAAAAACCGCGGGACAACCCGCATGACGACTTGGTGAGCAGGCATGTGAGACGCACGGCTTCGATTGGCGTTGAACATATTGCCAACGTCCCACCCTCATGAAACAAGGAATGGTAAAAGCTTTGTGGAGCACACACAGATAAGTCAAGAGAGCATCGCCTTCCAAAAGAATTGAGTAATGAACTACATAGCATATGTCCCACGCGCCTATGCTGTGCTAGCCATACACTGGGTTCCAACCCGCACAACTTCCGGTCTCCCTTCACTGCCAGGGGGGGTGGTTTGGCCGATTTGGTCGCCTATTCGCCGCCCTGCTTGAATATGTACCCATCGTTTGGCCTCGCGGCACACACGCGCGCTGCTTCACAGTGTGGCTTTTGTCAAGCATGCCAGCAAGATACCTCTTGCCAGCGCTTAGCCTCGATCGCCGGGCGCCCGCGCAAAACAAACAACCACCTTCATGGGGCAACGATCGTCCCGCGGAACGATTTACGATACCCTTGCTCCCTCCAAACACGTTCTACGTTCAGCTGTTTTATTCTTGTAGATTGCCGTTCTCACCTCCACGGCCTCCTGCTTTGTTCCCCGAGAGAACCGCGTCTAAACCGTCATCATCCGCCAGCGGCCCGCCTCTGGATGAAAAAGAAAAAAAAACAGCATAAGAGCACAACACAATGTCGGGGTGTTCACAAGTGGTTTGTTGCGTGAGGGTGTTTGGGCGTACACCTTGTTTCTGAAGGGAGGGCTACGAAGCCACAATGGTCAAAACACGGCAAAAACGACACCACCACCAAGTAGGTGAACCCAAGCACCACCACAACCAACTACATAGCCTTTCAGCAGGGCTCCAAGTACGGACTCCAAGCACGTCACCTGGACCACCGGCAACAACAAACTCGACCACGCCAGGGCAACAAACACCACATGGTGATACCACAACCGTACACGAGAGTACTTCAGGGACCTGCTTCGCTTGGCGCCCTTCTTCCACTGCTCGATCTCCTCGAGCCCCTCCTTCTTCCGCTTCGACTTCTCCGCGACCTTGTTGGAGTTGAGCTCCTTGGCGTACTTCCTCTGCTCCTGCCGCGCCTTGCGCTGCTCGAAGGCGTCCATCTTCTGCTTCTCGAAGATGAGCTTGTCCTTGATCTACCAAACACACAAAGCAGAGGGAACGGGAGAGGATTCTACGTGAACACAACTGCCTGCGGTAGATTTTACTCGCATCGACATGGCAGGGGGCTGGCGGACAGAGCCACCCCGTGGCTAACCAAGCCCGTAAGCAACGCCTGGCTGCAGCAGCCCGCGAACACGGTGAGCGTGTCGGCCGCCCGTTGTTGTTCAGGGGGGGGTTAACGCGTCGCGATTTTCTTTCTGGCTTGAAAAAGTGAACGCGCACTCGCTGAAAAGCCGGAGGATGGGAGGTGGGAGCCTCCACCGACTGACTGCTCTAGCTTCGAGCAGGCAGCCGGTGGAGACTCGATCTCGCACACTGTAGCTGCCCTACGGCCTCGCGTGCACTCTACACGTCGAAGGGAATCTAAGACGCGCTGAGTTCCCTCAAGGAACAACAACGCACGGCCGACCGCGCTGCCCTGACGGAAAACTTGGCTTCCGACTCTGACCACTTCCTGGATGAAGCTTAGAGGCTAAATGTCCTTTTCCACGGCGTTTCATTGCCCCTCAGTGGCTTGCTATCGCGCACCCCGAGGCAGCATGACCAAGAGGGAACCGGCGTACCGCTTGCCACTGCTTAGCAGCGACTGGAGCGCTGCATGCATGAATAGAGAATGCAACGAAACTAGGCAGGTGGGCGGTGTAATCCGCACGACATAGCCGCGCAGATGGATCTTCGGCCGATGGCTAAATGCCAAGGCACTAGCCAACCCTGAGGGGACCTACACGCAAATGGTAGAGACAGAGGCAGTAATCCACTCGAAGGATCAACTTTGACTGTCGAGGAAAACGGTGCCACAACCCTTTGCTATGCTTAGGAGGGGCCAAGGCGTGAGGGCTCAGCTCGAGCAGATCAAATGACTGCCGACGAAGTGGCGTCTGCCTGCCTCACGGGATGGATGCCGTTAAATTCTACATCGTATCCAAGTGCCGCATCAGCTTCGGCAATAATCGTGGCCGTAAAATAAGCTATCGAAGATGGAACTAATCCCATACGTGATGTGCCCAGGAGAGTCCCACCAACCCCCGCAAAATTCGCTGTCTGCAGTGAACACTGCTATTCGGGTATGTCGGTAATTCGCCTTCACTTGGCCACCTCTTTCGTGCGGCTTGCAGTCTGGAAGCATGTAAACCCGGGCCTATTAATTGCTTGCGCGAATGTCGCGATCGTCATGCTAAGATGAACCAGGAATGGCGCATGCGTGACACACTAGCGTTGAAGGTGTAACCGACGACATTCAAACAAGCAGTACTGCAAGAGTACCTGAATTTCACATAAATAACACCAACCCAGCTTCACGATGTATCCTACAACCGCCAAACAAGGCATCCGAAGGGCGGGCAGGACAAAATCACACTCGCGAAGGACAATGTGTACCTTGTCCATGTGTGCGTCCGTTTTGACCATCTCGCACAAGAAATCCTCAGGACGCTTGTAAGGGACGTTCGCCGCCACCAGCAACCTCCGCCCGCGCTTCACCGCCTCCAAAGCGTTATTGTAGAAGCTCACCTCGCTGCAAAACACACGCCCAACGACACCAAGGATGGCATCGGAGCAACAAGAGGTGCCCAGCTACATTAAGTTACCGACGCCCGTGGGAAATACGTAATAGCTAGAAACGACGAGGAGGCAACAGTCATTATCTAGTGTCGTTTGACAACTGAAACGGACAAAGCGAAAGGAACCGGCCACGGGGCTGGTACTCTGTGGTCTCTTGTAGCGACTTAGCGTGCCAAGCAGTTGCGACACAACACGTTGAACAACGCAGAACATGAATGCTCAAAATACCAGAGACATCGTGGGGTCCTTTTCGAGTCAACCTCTAGGGTTATTCGACTGGGAACGATTCAAAACGCATCGTCCATCTGTGATCTGTGTGTTTTATCTTCTGCACAGTGTTCTACTCTCTCCATAGCGGGGCCCGATCATCGGGGTCAAAACAGCAGTCTACCAAGCAACGTCGAAGGGTTCATCACAAAACTCCGGGGAAAACAATGGGCAGCGGAGGGGCTGCGGTACACACAAACGTAACGGCGCCGAGGTTGCAGTTCAGCACACCACACCACCGTGGTGCCGTGTCAATCGGCAAAAGCCACGCGTGTGCGTGTGGCGCGCTGCTGCCACAAACGGATGCTCCCGTGTGCGTCCTCACCGCTTGAGGTCGTCGTGTACATCTTCCAGCTCCAGCGGAACGTCGCTCACGGTCAACGTCTCCTCCCACGGGATCGCCCTCTCCATCTCCGCCGCCTTCTGGAGAAGCCCCGCCTGACACCACACAGCCCCAACACGTGCAACAAACAAGAGGCAGCGAACAGGGGGTTCGGCCTTAGCTGCTGGTCGCCGGGCTGTGATGCGTCATTTGCCCACGCTTGATGGTCCTTCTTGGCCACAACATGGGCTTTTGTATCGACGACCTTGTTGGCGTATCCAGCACACAGATTCGTAGGTGCACAGATCAACAATACCGCAAAGCCGAGCCGACGCAGCGACAGCCTTTCATCAAATTAAGCTAGAGGACGTGCTGTACAGCCTCTGGTAGACAGAACATCATTGTCCTGGGGGTTTGAGACCGTCCCTTCTTACGGTGACGGCGCGAACAGCACTTGCTCAGACGATTCGCGACTGACTCGCAGTCATTGCTTTCGCGGGCCTCGAGTTAACATCTGCCTCCCCAACGCAACCCTGATTTATCAAGGCACGACTTCAGAAGGGTGAGCCCGAAGTTTCCACTTGCGCGACTGTACTCCGCCGTGGAACTTGCAGGCACAGGGGCGGATCAAAACCTTCGCGTGACGAAACCAGAAAAGCAGAAACAGCAGTAGATTGTAACACTACGGCCTGTGTCCTTTGAGCCCGATTTAACCTTGTTGTACGACCCAGTAGGCGCCGCAGCTCCACCCCCGCCCCCTGCCGGCGCCTCTCGTCCTTCAGAACCCGTCGCTACACCCGAACCATCTCCACCCTCTTCCCCTCGTGACGCCTTCCTTCTTGCGCTCTGTTCCTCCATCGCAGCCCGCGCGGCCGCCAACTCCATCATGAACTCGTCGTCCTCTGCCACTCCAACCGCGGTTGGATCCTGCGTGTACATGTGTAGGTGGAGCTCTGACGAGTTGGCTCATATGGAAGCAAAGAATGGCTGCACCGCCAGTTCCATGAAGACTCGTACATGCTACTGCAACTTACCTCTCAGGCAGACATATGGGGAGGTTGTTCAACCCTGAATATTCACGTGTTGGCAGACATGTTCCTCGTTACACGTCTCTGACCTTGTTGTCTGCAGCACACACAAATGTACTTGTGTGGCGGCTTACTACCACGGCATGTGCTTAGGAGTCGTCTGTTCGATATATGGCCTTCTATTGCGGGCTGTAGAGTACTAACACAGACAGCCAGTGAGATGTGTCTAACCACAAAGCACAGACAACTCGTTGGTATTACAAGTATTGACAGTGTACATCTACGAAGTACATATCCCAACCCTATCTTGGTGTTAAGAGTACTATCGAGTCCCGTGTGAGCAAAAATTGCTAGCATCATTGGGATTGGCAGTACAAGAGCAGAGCTGCTACTACAATACACTCTCAGAGGACAATACAAGACTCTCTATTTTTCGATTACATCTTTGGCGCGGAGTACTTGGGCGGCAAACCACCTTTGCAGCTCCAACGGGCGGGTACAGCGGGAAAGCAGCAGCTGGCAACAACGAGCTGTTGAACAATAAGTCAGCCCAGAGAGAGAAAGAAGGAACGAGAGAGACAGCGCGGCGGTTTCTGTTCCCTAAACCACCAGGGTTGCAATAAGAGGATCGGACAAATGAGCTTTTCTGTGAGTCCTCGTGTCAACGTCACCGGGACCGGGATGAGCTGCTGTTTACTTCGTTGTCCCCGCTACCTCGTACTCCGGTGTCCACAGCAACTTAGGACACTCTGTCGCGAGGGAAATTTCTTGCACCCATACCTCGATTTCATCTGCCGTGGCGGCCTTGATTGCTCGTTTTCTTCCCTTAGGCATGGCTGTGCTTGCTTGTCTCCGCTTCGTCCTCCGTACAGCGGTGCGTGTATCTCAGCAAAGCACCTAAGTTAGAGCTGCCTCTGCCACCGATCACCCAACCCCACCAGCAAAATAACGCGGCGGGATAGCGGTAATATTTGCGTACCCCCTACCCCCCAACCCCTCCTACCCATGACGCGGTCTGACGTTGAACACACTCTCTGCCAGTCTTCCCTCCGCCTTGACATTCTGTTCAGGGATTGCTTGTGCAGCTAAGCAACACTGGACAAGGAGGTGAGAAGGCTATGAACTTGCTAGGGAGCTATTTCCTGCATGCAGCTGGCGCGTGTAGTTTGCCCCTGGTTGATGCAGTCAAGAGGATATTGCAGGGCGAGTGACATTGTTGTAGACGTGAAGCATGGAGAACATGACGCGCAACGATCCACGGCTTTCTGTCGGGCAACTTCAAGTCTCTCATGCTGCTTCCTGCAGTACGGAGCGATTTGTGTACACCAAGCAGCCAGGAGGGGCTGGTTGTGAGGGATTCTTGCTCAGCGGTAGGCAGGAGGCGCGATAGAGAGGGCTATTCGCGCGGATGTTGAGAGGCGGCGGTGCATCTTGAGGTGTTTACGAGAACACTTCCTCCGCAGAAAAACTCATCAACCTGATCGAGGGAAAGCTGTTTTGATCGCGCGGCTCCTCAAAGCAGCTAGCAAGGAGCACCAAATCAACTGCTCTGCGCTTTGTTTTCCTGCCCAGGGGGACACCTACTAGAGTTGGAGGTGGAATAGTTTTTTGTGGTGGTTGCACAAAAGTACCTGCAGTACGCTCGTGCGTCTGTTCATTGGCTTGCTCGTGTGATTTTCTCGTCGTACAGAAGAACGGGGGGCGGTCCACCATCACCAGCTAGAGAGGGGGGTGGTTGTTGTTGTTGTTTTCACATTAAACCGTATGTCAATTGCTAAATGCCAAAATCTAGCAAAGACTCTCAGCCCGTGGTCACGAAAGTGCTAGAGCCATCTGAGGATCTAAAGAACACGCACACATATAACGAGAAAAAGGTGTCAAAGAGCCCGAAGAGGTACACCTAAAATCCCTGCAGCACCGTATGCGTGCCCAAAAACTGAACGTCCGTCCCTCCGTTCGACTACATTAGCATCACCCCCTCCCTGTCCCACTCTATACCAAAACGGAAGATTGCCGACTACAGCATACTGCTGTCTGGAGTGCTGTCTGTACAAAAACACCATGGTAGGCATGGAACAAGAAGCTGGCGGGGCACAAAGCTGCTGTCTGAAGTGCTGTCAGAATGTGTCTGCGGCCGTACAATGAAAAAGAACAACCAACCAAAGCCATCATAGCAGCAATTGACAATCACCCGAATCTCTCCCGATCGTCTGTGTTAGCACTGCAGTGAAAAATATCGACACTAGCTAAGAATCGTTCCACATTGAAGGGGTCTTCCACGATCAGGCACATAACCAAGGCACCCGGGTTAGCCACGCCATCTCTGACGGGTCTCTCTACAAAACC